AAGAAGCTGCACAGACCAGGTGCTTTCCCTAACATCTCACATAGAAGCAGGCTACCAAAAACGCCAGAAAACATCGATTACCTTTATAGATTTAAGCTCTGCTTACGATACTGTTTGGAGGCACGGCCTGCTATACAAGCTAATCCAAAAAATTCCATGCAGCCATGCCATTCCTCTCACCGACAATATGCTCGCAGGGAGAACTTTCAATGTTGTAATTGGAGAGAGGACAAGCAGAACAAGAACACTAAACGATGGACTGCCACAGGGCTCAGTCCTCGCCCCACTTCTGTTTAACCTCTACATTTCGGATATGCCAAACACACAATCTACAAAATTTGGATACGCAGATGACTGGGCTTTAGCCGCTCAACACGAGAAGTTCGAGACCACTGAAAAGACTCTTGGCTCCGACTTAGGGTTGATGAGCGACTACTTTCACAAATGGAGAATGCTGCCCAACCCCACTAAAACAGAGGTGTCATGCTTCCACCTTTGTAACCAATCAGCGAAGAGAGAGCTTACCATCAACTTCGAAGGAAAACGCCTCAACCATAACAACCACCCCAAATACTTAGGAGTCACACTGGACAGGACGCTCTCCTACAAGGAACACCTGATAAAGACCGCAAGCAAAATGAGAACAAGGACTAACATCATTCATAAATTGTGTGGTACCACCTGGGGCTCTTCAGCGGACACGCTCCGTATATCGGCAGTCGGTCTTGTCTACTCTGTGGCGGAATACTGCGCACCAGTGTGGATTAACAGCCCGCACACTGAGAGAATCGACACTGTACTGAACGACACAATGCGCATAATCAGCGGCACGATTAAGTCCACACCAATTGCTTGGCTGCCTTTCCTGAGCCACATACTGCCACCTGAAATTCGACGTAAAAACAGCCTTGTTAGGGAGTATCAGAAAATAAACAATAATACAGAGCTACCTATACACAATGAAATAGGCGATCTAGAGCGCAAACGACCGAAGTCGAGGAAACCAGCGCTAATCACCGCTAAAGAGCTGTTGGACTCAAATTTCAACGCAGCGAACGCCTGGCAACAAAGATGGAAGGAACAATGCCCATCGCACTTTCAAACTTTCCTTACTTCAGAGAAGGTTGCTGGATCTGACTTGCCTCGAAAAGTGTGGACTACATTGAACCGAATACGTGCTGGCCATGGCAGATGTGCTGACGCTCTTCATAAATGGGGATGGATAACCTCGCCAGAATGCGACTGCGGGGCCAATAATCAAACAGTGACTCACATAGTGAAAGATTGCCCAAACCGTGCCTACCAAGGACCTATCACTGATTTTATGACTGCAACAGAAGAGGCGATTGATTATATTAAAAATTTAGACATAAAATTGTAACATCAATATCTATATGCTCTGAGAACATATAATAGCATAGCACAATGTACGCCATACGATAAATAAATAAAAATTATCTAAAGCGCACGGTAAAATTTCCCCAGGGTGTTTTGATATGGGGGTGTATGAGTGGTAAAGAGGTTGGCAACTACGAGTTCATTGATGGTACTGTAAATGCAGAAAAATACCAACAAATTTTATCAAGAAGTTTGATTCCATCAATAGAACGAACTTTTGGAAATGAAAATTTTATATTTAAACAAGACGGTGCGCCCTGCCATACTGCGAAAACAACAAAAAAGTGGTTTGTGGACCATAATATGAAAGTTTTATCGTGGCCATCAAGCAGACCCGACTTGAATATTATTGAAACTTTATGGCATCGGATGAAAAAGACTTTGCGTAACAATCCTCAGCGTACAGTTCCAGCATTAAAGGCAAAAATCACCGAAATTAGGAACACTTTCACCCACGAATATTGCAAGACTTTGGTAGATTCCATGCCAAAACGCATAAAAGCTGTTATTGCCGCGAAAGGATGTTACTTCTTATTAATGTTCGATTTGAAGTAAAAGATTTAAATGCGTCCCAATATTTATTTGTCAGCAAATTCGGTATGTTCTTGATATTTTGTTATGCAATTTATGTGAAATAAAAAAATAATTCATTACGATAGCACTTTTTGGTATAAAAATAAGTGCGTGATTTCATTTTTCAATCGAAAAGGCAAAAAAAAATCAATTTAAAATAAGTATAAATATGTTTTCTTATTATTTCGTACATCGTCCGAACAATTAGTTGTTAGGGCTCGTATGTACGAGGTGAGTCAACCATGAAGTAAAGTTCATCGTCTCATTCAAAAGTTATTATTAAATGGTGAATATAAAAGTTGTAAATATTATTTTGATTTTTTTTGAATGGAACATCATATTTTTAAATTTCGTTTTGAACTAGTTTTGGAGTACTTGTTTTCACATTTGCAGAAAAAATAGCAAAGCGTCATCATTCTTAAAGGTCGATCACCCATATTTCATATTAGCGTTATTCGAAGTTGACGTAAGATGTATGCAATTTTAACGCTGCAGGGTGTTCAAAATAAACGAATACTTTTGGGTCATTTTAAATTGAAAAATCTGGAAAATGCCTAATTACACATCTATCTAGCATGCGGAAAGCGTCACTTTCGTTTCCCATTGATCCGAGCCACTTCGGACATTTCCGGGATTTTACCGCACGGATTTCGGAGATATTTCCCACGCCTTGAATTGTGACGTTTGTCAATTCTGATGGTCATATCATTGAATGTATTCGTGTTGTTTTGCGAAAATGTACCCAAAAACTAACGGTCGTAGAAAAAGTATAGTATGCAACACGTTCGGTAAACGTTAGTCACTCACTTTAGTGACTCGTGAGTCAAATGCCGTTTACCGCACTTGTTTGCTTAATATACTATACCCTACTTTCTAAGATCATTGCTACAACATTAAAGGAAATGACATTGCTAATTTTTTGCCTGACAACTGAGCAAATAAATGCATAAAATATAACAAAACTAAGTATGGAATTCCTAAAGCTGTATTCTTCATATGATTCATATACTATGATTTATATGCTAATTCAAACTTAAGGCATATTTTGCAGTTTTTGAATATACACTCTTTTTAATTTGCGCGGCAGAAAGTGTGCAAGTAATAATAATTTGTGTCGTTTTGTTAGGACTAGATGTGTAAGATTTTTTGTATAACAAATATGTGTTAGGTAAAATCTTCTTTTTTTAAATGATTCGTTCATCAATCTCTACTGCTACTACAATTTTCGAGTCGAAACACAACATGCTTTGACGACAAATTCTCGTAAGTTCCTGATAACGCAAACTTTCTCAGTTGGAGGATACAAAAATTTGAAAAATAAGTGATTGCCAACCTTAATTTGTTTATTTGACGGTTTTGGTTCATTTTGTTATTGCATGAGAATGTATTGATTCGTGAAAATGGCATGAAATCAATAAAAGGGAAAAAATTACTTGACATTTTGTTTGAGCGTTTCGGTTTCGTTGAGTCGTGATATGAAACTATTCGTCGCTATATTAATTATATGCACATTTATCTTCATATTTGGGGTTGCGGTGGGTAAACTCATTTAAAAAAAAAGCGAATTTTTTGTAATAAATTGAAAGGAAGATTGATTTGCCAACATGTACCACATCAACACTATAATTTTAATTACTTTTTTTGTTTTGTTTCATTTTAAAGTCCTCATTAAAATAAATTAAAAATAAAAACCTAACTTAAAATATGCTCATCATTTTGTTTTTAAGACTCACTTTATTAAGCTTTTCAATAATGAAAAAGTAATTGTGTTCTTACAATCATTTTTTTAATTTTTCCTAGTTTCCGAGGTTGAAATATTAACAACCAGAGTCGCTTCTTAAATAATGGAGAATACAAAATTTTGGACAAGTACCCAACAATGGGAGTGTTTCCCTAAAATCTTAAAATGTATTCAGTATTCTTGAAAAATGTCTATTAAAGAAATAGTTTTTTATTACTTCTTCTATTCTTTTAGTCATGAACATATACTATATATATAGAGGTCCTGCCTATACTGATAATACAGAAACTTTGAGCCAATGACCTTGCGACATTCAACAACCAACATGGCAGCTGGCAGATCGTCAATAAGTTATTTTTACGGAAGTATTTTCTCAAAATATGAAGTGTGTGGAAATTGCTGAAAGAAAGAAGATTTACTTATTATTTTTTATTTATTTAATACATTGTCGAGAATACAAAGAAACTTAACTAGATAAGTCCGAATCTAAAAGAATGTTACAAAATTCTGTTTTTGTTTCTCTTAAATAAATTTAGTTTGAGAGGTATTTTTAGTAAGTCCGTACCTTCTCTATTCAGAGAAACAAACAATTAAAATATATATGAGCATATTAGCGGAGAGTTTGAGAAGAAGTTAGATCTGAATCCGTCATTAAAAGATAATTGACTTGTACAGGAAGGTGACCTCAAATGACCTCAACAAAACCGTAGGTTATGTTCATACCATTAGTGGTGTCTGTCTCTAAAATTAAAATCTTGTAAGAAGTTTTTTTGGACATTCTCTATCCGATTGATATTCTTGCGGATTTGGACTGATTTTTGGTCGCTAAAGCCTGTAGTGTTACCTAATACAAAACCAAAGTTTCTTAAACCTTTCTTTACAGTATTTTCTACATGTGCTTCAAATGTTAACTAAGAGTCTAATATGATGCCTAAACTTTTTTAAGTTTTGCATTTTCTATTTTTAAGTCAATATAATAATTTTTTTTTCTTTGTAAACTATATTAATTGGCATTTATCGAGATTTTAAAAAAGTCTGTGATTTTTACAGTAGACAGTAAACCAATCGAGATTATGCTGGAGGTCCGAAATGTATATGCCAGAAATTTTTGGGGAATACAAATGTTAAAATCTCCTCGGGGAGTAACATTTCCCCTTTTTCAAGAATAGCCACAAGGGAATACGAATAGTTTCAAATTTCGTCTCTTGTTGCCGTTACACGAGAACCTGTCAAATTGTCAACGAATGAACGATTCCTTCGGATTCTAACACACATTTTACGTCGGCAGACTTAGAAAAGGCAGAATACCAGGTTTAAGCATATTAGCGTTCGTCGCCAACTGGATCTGGCCACGAGACCGATGCCGGTCGGGAAGCCTGTCCAGTTTAACCTGGCATCCGGACTACTTCCACTCTGGCTCGCCGTCCAAATCGTTGGCCCGCATCTCGAGGGCGGCCGACGGTCGATTCATTTTGGTCGATTCCACTCTGGCCGCGCGACCCGAGACCCCATCGAACGCCAGCAGCAGCGACGACGGAGGTTTTCTGCCCACCAGGAGGGGCAACACCAGGAACCGCGCTTCATGGCGCCGACCCCTAGTCGGCTATCCGAGTCAGCTCAGTTTGAGATCGGACGCATCCGGTCAATCTGCCACCGACGTCACGGCATTTTTCTTAACCCATCCTCGTTTCCAACCGGCCGTGCCGGTAATATATAGCCCCGCCACGCCTAACGTTCAATCCAGCTCCCCAACGCGACACGGCTTGCTGTTATCGCCGTGGAATCCCTTGTACTTTAGTGATTTGAGTTCCGTGCGATATCCGAGCTCGGGAGAACGCTCGTATCCCACCCCGCCGGGTTACAGACAACTGAGGTCGGTGCACGAAAGGTACTCGCAGGAGCTTCCCCCTCTGCGCGCGATACACGAAGAGCATCAAGGGTTCGTCCCGGTCCAGCCGGTCCTGGACAGTCCGAGACCGGCACCCCAATTCAGGGGCAGGAGTATACGCTTGCTTCCCCCTCGACACGCCCGTCTCGCCAGGAGCGCCCCCGAATTGGACCACCTCGATCGATCGCCGGAAAGCCGCTCCAGTTCGAGCGGGTTCGGAAGCAAGAACACCTCCTCGCAACAGAATCAAAGCTCGCAGAGCGGGAGCACTTTTATAGAGTGGAGGCTGCCGCCGTATCGGCCCCCGCCGCCCGCTCCCGTCGCTTCCATCTTGCCGCCCCCGCCCCCGCCCTTAGTAGGGCATTGGCTAGAGCTCGCTTCTTCGTCACCCTCCGCATCCGAATACCTCCACAAGGCCGTCGACGTAGGTAGCGTGGACGGTCATTACGAATTCGATCCGAGCACACCTACACCAACCCCTTCGACGCCCACGGGGTCCAGGGATATCGATTTGGACACGGGGCTCGGACCTCCGCAGAGGAAGAGCTTCGCGCTGAGAAGTCGGTACGACAACATCGACGCCAGGGTGCAAGCTATGAAGGAGGAGTTTAACGAGTTTAGGAAGAGACAGGCGAATCGAAGGCGAAGCCACGAACTCGAAAGTGCCTGTTAGTGCGACGCGCGCGGCGAAGGTACTATTAGTCCGGTCAAATTAGATAATTTCGGTGCCAGAACACTCGCAAACTCTTTTCTACGCGCTTCAAGTGCGAAACGTTTGGGAACATTTTTCATTTTCGATTAACGACGTATAATAAACAGTAGACTATTATAACAATAAATACAAATAAAAATTATCAGTCACAAAGCACGGCGAGGGCTGGTATGGTTGTTTCTTTTCGTTCTTCGATAATGGGTTTTATAGACTAGTCTTGATATGCAACTTAATCTTAAATAATAGAGGTTATTTTCGTTGGTTGGTCGCATCCTAATGAAGGTGTGACTACAAATCCTATCATCTTTCATATTCTCGTAAATTTATGGTTCAAGAGAAAACAGCTGTAATACTATATCTAATAATAATAATAATATAATATAATATAAACCGCCTCGACAGTTGCCAAAGGGTTAGCAAATGATGAGGGAAAAACAGACCAGGTTGAAACTCATATGTAACAGGTTGATACTGATTAAGAAGTGACCACTTTGACACTGCTATACTTTTTTGTCGAAATATTTACTATGATAAACAACTTGCCGGGGTTCTGGTAAAATCAAAAAAACCCAAATTTTGGATAAAAATAGGTTCTGCTTCTGATTACCCTTCTTTGAAGTACAAACGCTGAAATATTTTAACTTGACCTTGATGATACTCTGTATATTTCTTCGGTTTCGAAATATGTATATGAAGAGCATTAATTCAACTTTTTTGCAATTTCGCAAAAAATCTCACTTTTCATTGCCCTGTTGGTTTAGGTGAACTGTAACACTATTACATGTTTCCAATAAACTAAACAACGCTGCTGGTCGATTTTTTACAAGCAGATTAGCCTAAGTTGAACTTATTTTTTTAATTTATTGATAATTTGAAAAAAATCGGCAAATTTACGCAAGCATGAATATCGAAAATAAATATTTCCTAGGTAGGTCGTTTGGAAAACTCACTTTAACCTAGAAAATTTTCCATAAAACTGTTCAAACATTTCTCTTTTTCTTTTGCCTATCATCTGAAAATATGATTTTGATAGGTCATCTACTGTAGCTTACCTTGTAGAAGTGCCATTCTATACGCCAGTGCGTTCTAGCGTCGTTTAAAGCAACATTCCCAACATTTTTCTGCCTGTTCTGGTACAAAAGAGTCTAATTTAATCGGAGTACTCTACCACGGGACTAATTATTCTCAAAATTCAGTGTGATATTCACTAAATTGTAAAACGAAATAATATGTTCTAAATATTTAAATGAAAAATGAGGAAATGAAAAAGGAACCAAACTGACTTTAGCATTAAATTACGAGTTTAAGTAATTTATTATTAATTGATTTTGTAATGTAAGGCGTATTTTCGTTAATGTAGATTTAAAAAGTTGAGCTCAATTTACTCGATTTCGACCGGGAGGTGTTTAAAGTAGACCTCGTATGAGTCACGCTTTTATTTCCACATCCGCTCTTCGTTTTCTTAGCTTTTTGATGGTGATGGACATGTTCAGTGCAATAGACGGACACTAACATTCCAAGTCACGACACTGATCGCTATCATTTAAGTCCATTGAAATCAAAATCTGTCTCTGGATGTTTAAATTTCCGCGTCTAAAAGTAAAGCGCTAGAGTGCTATTTTGAAAACTTCCCGTATTCAAATTCGATGTAACAATATACTTCCACAATATGTTTATCATTGCCATATTGTGATGACGAGGTGGGTTGATGATGGTCTGTTGAATTTTGCCTTAAAAATTTGACCTCAAATTTGTTTTTGTTAGGTAGAGACATCCACTTTGTTTAACCTTTACTAATTGAAATTACATGTTTTACAATAATATTTGTTTAGAAATTCTTTTATGCCGTTATTGCTGATTTGGCTTCCTTTACATCATGTTTTCCAATGTTCAAACTTATCGTTTCGTAAATTAATTATACTACAAGAATTTATGAAAAAAGAGCAGCCCATGACTTAACCAAGTGACAGCTTTAAGTGCTTTCGTGTGATCTCTCTCTACTGTCCCTCTTCCTCATTCATCGAACGGAAATCGCACTAACTTGAAAAATGTTTTAATATCTTATGGTTTTAATTATTCTTAATTCTTGCGACGGAAATCTTGCCTCCATCTACAGAAATAATAGCTATACTTTTCTGGGAAATGTAGAAACATTCCGTCCAAAAATCAAAACGCCTTGGCGGCCTTTTAGATAGGACCAGAATTTAGTCAACATTGCCAGATAACAAACATCTATAACAGGTATATTGTACAACGTTTCCGTTCAAACAGAAATGTCATGAACTGTTTGTGAATCGACAGGAAGAAAATAAACAAAATCTCTTCATTTTCATTTATTTTGTTTTTCATATATTTACAAATTGGTGCGAAGATTAATTTAAAATTAACAAATAAATCTCTTCGCCGCCAGTGTGGGTAAATGTACTGGGTGTTCCAAAGTCGACTCCTACTATCTTGGAAACGGTAAAATCTACAAGACAAAAATTAATATTTAATTTAATAATAATTTAAAAATTGAAGTTGTACTACTTCATGGAACACGACGAATATTTTTTTATCAATTTATTTGAAAAATGTGGTAGAAATCTTCAAATTTTCATACTTCACTTTTTTGAGCTTAATGTTTGCCAAAAGATCCCGAATGTTTCATTTTTCTAAAACATTTTGATAGCTCGTGAACCTCCGTTGTTAAAAATATTGTTTACCAATAAAGAAAATATCTCATCTCATCATAGAGTTTGGGACAACGAGTCCATAGACTAACCAAAACTAACCAAAACTAGTTCAGCTAAAATAACATCAAAAATAACCTTCTTATTCCAACAGATATTTTGAGAAACAAGCAAGTCGTAACACTTCTGTTGCCCCAATCCTTTGTTATAAGATTTTGAGATCATTATAGAATTTGTAAGGGAGAACAGTTTACAGTTAATTGTAAGGGGCAATAACTCGGAAGGGGTTAAAGGTTATTTTCATCGTTTAATTCATATTCTTAAGCAAATTTTAACATAATTCTTCCATGTCACACCAGATAGGCATATACACATATAATAATAATAAAATTATTAAAAAGAAATGTTAAGTAGAGAAATAGGAAAAAGAAGAATGCGAAATGTAAACAGATAAAATAATCACAGCGACCGTTATAATGTTGTGCATTATGCGTCTGCACAAAAATTACAATAAATCTCCTTAATCGCCCTATCGTTCATTATTTTCGATGCATTTGTGAGCTTTTTTGTCAATCTTGCTTACCTATATAATAACTTTCTTAAACGATTTCTATGCAATAATTTGAGCATAGTTTGCTAACATGCCGTCGTAGTAATAATCGTAATAATAATAATAATCAATAAAATTAAAATGGAACATTAGAAATGAAACATTAACATAAAGTGGATGAAAACATTGATTCGAGTTTCCGGAACTAATAAAAATAACGCAAATACGGCCTAATTTGAGCCACCCAGTATTTCTTCCCAATGGTGGAAGTCGAATTTGAAACAGATGTTATTGACGTCACATATTATCAAAAGCTAACAAATTGTGAGTTATCTTTTTACGGTAAAAGTCACAACCTCGACACTGTCTAATAGCAAAAACCAACCCGATTTAACAAATAAATTCTAACGCTTTAGTGCGGTCAATTCGGCCGCGACCAACATTCACACGAAAGGCTGTTTCAATATTGTAAAACTAGATGTTTAGCATTAAAATTTGTGTATGGTACCTTGGATATCGCGAGAGAATTCAAAATTATATATCATTCCAGGTTTTTTTACCTTTCGTTTGTCTCGACGTACTTTTAGTTATTTTTGTAAGGAATTCAAATAAACTACACGTACTCCTGTGCAGCGTTGCCACGTTTACTTGGTGCCATCCTATTCGAAGGGCCAAAACTTTTTCTTGCCACCTATTCTTGCCGACCGCTTCGCTCTTAAGGGCTCGTGCTTTGCATTCAGAATGCCCTGCCATTTGACCACCCTTTCCAATTAATGTTAATTTATTGATAAGTTGTGATAAGTTGCGAGTACTGATTTTGTTTTATGTTCTGAAAAAGTACAACTTATTTATATATAATTTTATTAAATTATATGTTTAGTGAAATGACTGGAGTGATGTGTTTTAACAATAACGTGAGTAAATTAAGTCGTAATATTAAGAGATATTTGAAATTCTAACGATTTTGAGGCACTTGAACAGTGTTTATATTGAACTAGTGAATAACTCGTTTACTGTGTCGAATTACTTTTTATACTGTGGAATATGTTAACTAGCTTTGTCTGAGTTTTCTGGCCTCGACATTTTCAAAGGACAAGTTATTATTATTATTTAACTCTACATTGTCTTGATAAAAAATGTTTACCCGATCTTTTTTTCTGTCTTGTGTTCTGGATATCTTACTGCAAAGATTTCATAGTTGAATTTGTTTTAATAATAATATTTTTTATTATTATATTATGAAGCGTTATTGTCTAAAAAGCAAATTATGTTCAAATCCAACACAATAGTTTTGCCAGCAGGTAAAAATGTTAAAAAGAAAATAAAAATGATAAAAATATAAACCACTAGCATAAATATCTATGCAGGTCAGGATTAAGCATAAGTGCAAAGATTGTCTTTTAAAACAAACTCCAACTGGTGTTAAAAAAGTCCACCCCAACACTTGTCAAATGTTATTGCTTCAACCTCTCTATCTAATACTTTATTTTTATTTTCAATTTAATTCCAAATGCCTATGCCTACGTTTTGTGAGTGCTTTGTGACATAGATATTCAATGGAAAGATTTATTTTAAGTAGACTGATTTAAATGGTGCAATATAATACATTCCTTTTCAGCTATTGAACTGTTCACCAAGCAAAAGTATTCAATAAATTTAATAATATGTGGTAGGTTGCTTTCTTCTAGTTTTAACTTTACTTTCAATTATGTTTAGGTCGAAGAAAAAGTGGCAAGGGTCAGGTTTTACAGTGCT